TGGTTTTTCGAGACAGGGTTTCTCTATGGTTTTGGAGCCTGTCCTGGAACTAGTTCTTGTAGACCAGGCTGGTCTCGAACTCACAGAGATCCGCCTGCCTCTGCCTCCCGAGTGCTGGGATTAAAGGCGTGCGCCACCACCGCCCGGCCCCAGTTTTCCTTTCTTAAATTAAATCTTTCTGATCCTTCTAAGTGCTTTGTAGTGATAAGTACTTTATTAGGCTACCAATGATGCAGACAGCAGATATGGATTTCATAACAGAGAATAACACAGCTAAAAATTATTTTCAAACAACTAACTTAAGATAGTTTTTTTTTTTTTTAATTTTGAAACAGGATCTCATTTTGCAGCCCTGGCTGTCCTGGAAACCAGTCTGGTCTTGAACTCACAGAGATCCACCCATTTCTGCCTCCTGAGTCCTACGACTGATGATGTACCCTGACATGCCTGGCAAGAATTTTTATTTTATATTACTTCTTTATTACTTTATTTATTTATTATTTAGTATGAGGTTGTGTATGTGTGTGTGTGGTTGTGTTGTGTGGTTGTATATGTATATGTGTGGTTATGTATGTGTGGTTGTGTATGTGTGGTTGTGTATGTGTGTGTGGTTGTGTTGTATGGTTGTGAATGTGTGTGGTTGTGTATGTGTGTTGTGGTTGTGTTGTGCGGTTGTGTATGTGTGTTGTGGTTGTGTTGTGTGGTTGTGTATATGTGTCTAAGCATGTGTGTGGTTGTATGTGTGTGTATGTGTGTGGTTGTGTATATGTGTCTATGTGTGTATGTGGTTGCATGTGTATGGTTGTGTGTGTATATGTGTGGTTATGTATGTATATGTGGCTATGTATGGGTGGTTGTGTATGTGTGTTGTGGTTGTGTATGTATATGTGTGGTTATGTATGTGTATGTGGGTATGTATGTGTGGTTGTGGTTGTGTATTATGTGGTTGTGTATGTGTATTGTGGTTGTGTTGTACGGTTTTGTGCGTTGTGGTTGTGTTGTGTGGTTGTATATATGTGTCTATGAGTGTGTGTGGTTGTATGTGTGTGTATGTGTATGGTTGTGTGTGTAGGTGGACACACATGCCTTAGTGAGCGTGTGGAGATCAGCGAACAACTTGCAGGAGTTACTCTCCTTGTGGCATGTGGCTCCTGGGGATCCAACTCAGGTTTTCACACTTCTGTGCCAAGCTCTTTGTCAGCTGAGTCATCTACACAGCCTCTCTCTATGTTTGCTTCTTTCACGTAATGGCCTCACATGATCAAAGATGAACCCATATGGTAGCTAGCTGGATGATAGTCATATGTGTAGCTACTCACACAGCTCTGAGTTGCCTTTTTACCTTCACGTTGAAACATAGGGCTTCTTTGCTTAAATTATTTCTTCCATTTTTTTTTAAAGAATTTCATTTTTTTGTTCTGCAGAAAATGTCTATAAAAGCTCACGGTAGAGCTCCTGGCTTGTCTCAACTGCTGTTCACATATTTACATGTGGCTCCTACCTTCCCACATATCTACTGTGGCTCCTACCTTCCCACATATCCACCTGTGGTTCCTACCTTCCCACATATCCACCTGTGGCTCCTACCTTCCCACATATCCACCTGTGGCTCCTACCTTCCCACATATCCACCTGTGGTTCCTACCTTCCCACATATCCACGCATGGCTCCTACCTTCTTTCCCTGTGCAGAGCATTGATGGAGTCGTGAGTCCTCCACAGTTCCTTCTTAAAGCAGACTATAGTCTAGAGAAGCAAGAAATTGGGAGAATGAGTTTTTAGTTTGAACTGAAGCACATTTTAAAAAGTTGTCATAAGAGCATGGTGATTACATGCTTTTTCAAAACAAATTGCAGTGTTTTACAAACTAGCTGGTGTTTGGATTTATGTCTAAGAACAATGATGCAAATATTTACTTATACAAAAGTATAGCCATGCAGTCTAATTTGCAGAGTTAATTATATATTAAAATAATATATATTTGATATTAAAGTATACAAGTAAGCTGTGGTAGCCTTCTGCCCATGTTGGCTGCTTCTCAGATAGCTACTTGCAAAGTCATTCACAGAACGCGTTGGGCCACACTTTGGGCAGCCCTTTCCTATTGGCGTGCACTCTGTGGCTTCTGAGTGACAGGGCCTGCTTGCTTATTTCCTCTAAATTCAAGTGTAGCCTTTGCAGAAATGACATTTAAATTATGAATATAAAAAAAACTAAACTTCTTTTACATCCATATTTGTGGTGATATTTTGTTTGTGCTATAACAAATAAAGCTTGCCTGAAGATCATCTGAGTACAGAGCTAGCCACACTTGTTAGCCATAGAGGTCAGGCAGTGGCGGCCACACACTGGTGCAGGAGAATTGTCTATATTCTGTCAAACATATTTTAAATAAATGCTGATTGGCCAGGCAGAAAGTATAGGTGGGTCAACCAGACAGAAAGTAGAAGCAAGGCAATGAGAACAGGAGTATTCTGGGAAGAAGGAAGCTTTTCCCACAGTCCAGCCCAGACCACTAAAGAAGCAACATGTGACCTGCCCTGCTGTGAAAGGTACTGAGCCATGTGGCTAGCATAGATAAGAACAATGGGTTAATATAAGCTACAAGAGCTAATAAGAAGCCTGAGCTAATGGACCAATCAATTTATATCTAATGCAGACTCTCTGTGTATTTCTTTGGGGCTGAAGGGCTTCGGGAACCAGGTAGGATAGAAACCCCAACAAAGCAGGCCACCCTCATGCTACA